ATGGCTGAGAGAATGGCAAGATATGCACATCTGGCCGAATCAGAGGTGGACGTATCTTTGGAAATCTTCGCTGTGCGCAATGTTATTCGAAGCGACTTGTTGTCAGGCGATGAAGAGAGCGATGCTCTTGGGGCTGCCAGGGGGTGGATGGTAATTTCGTGGCGCGTGACGGTGAGGGGATCCGCAGGTGTGAAGGTATCCTAATCCTTTAACTGGGCCGAGCTCACCGTTTGACGATCCTAGCATTATGCAGGGCTTGCCGGGAGGGAGTCCGAAGTACCCTTATATTGGGCCTCGGGTGAAATGCCGATACCAGGAATCGTACCCGGGACCTGCCGTGGTAGATCCATCCTGAATACGAATTTGCAGTTGGTATGCCTCCAACACTACCGCCTCTTTGGGCGTCGTCGTGCTCGTCGATGATGAGCTCAGTTGCAGTCTCGCGCGCCCTGGTGATCGATAAATCGGAATTGGGAAAATTCATTTGATGGTCATGTGTTTTTGTAGTAATTTTCGAAAAAAATTGTTTGGTCCTGGGATAATTTTGTGGCGCGCGGTAAAATTTGGTCAGTTTTTTTGAAATGCTACTAGCACCGATTTCGTCAGCAGAACGCAGGAGAGGGAAGACTCGTCGTGGAGGTGTCGCAAGTCTGGTCCGAAGGGCCCAGAGGATCTCTTGGAGATGGTTAGACGAGAGTATAGGAAGGATCGAGGAACGCGTTAATGTTATCGAGAAATTGATGGTGGAAAATGTCGCGCGCCACGAAATTGTTGAGGCTGAACTTGAGAGCAGCAGCTTATTTCTGAGACCATGGGGCGTTGAGGAAAAGCAAGGACGAGCAAGATTGCAAGATTTGCCTTTACGGAGGTGTTTGCCTCCTCGGAAGGAGGAATTTCGTGGCGCGGTGACGCGTAATGTGAGAGCGGGGTCTGCATGCAGGCCTCGAGATGGACCGCCGCCGTGGCGTTGATGTGATTAATGTTGTTGATGCTGATGGTATCGAGTTTAGTATGAGAATTGCCGTTGCCGGGAATCGAACCCGGGATCTTTAGTGGTGCAGGGTGCAGGATGGAACCGGGAATTTACTGCCCAGCGACCCATTTAGTTTGGCGAAATAACGTTTTGATAGCAATGGGGAAAATGTTACTAATGTGATGACATCTACATGGGAAAGTGATTGAAAAATGTGGAAAATTTAAAATGAGTTTTCCCCGGGAACATTATAGGTTTCTGGATGATTCTCTGCTACTGTGTTTCAGTTTGGCGTTGATCCGTTTCCCTACGGCCACCGTCCCACCTCGGTTTGATGAATCCGTCCGGTCTGAATCCGATGGGGTTCTCTCGGGGACAGCACGAAAATGATGGACGGATTTGTCCGCCACCACAGTGGCAGTATTTTCCCGCGCGCCACGAAACCCGTCAACCTGAAGTAAGATGCCTCTCGTCACAGATGTTTTGAAATATTAATGCGATCCTTCCATAATCGATCACCGCGGCGTGCGCTTTTTACATATTTACTTTTTATCGTAGGTACAAGCTCCTTCAAGAGTAACGTATACACGGCCCTCGCCATCGTCATCATCATCACAATATGGGTGATAATTTCTATTCTGCTTCGCTCCGCTAAGAATAGTTGCATTTTTTTCCAGATATGCCAGTGCTCCTCGTGTGCATCAGCAGCCGAATCATTATCAACACCCACAGCAGCAGCAGTCGGTGTATAGAATGCAGAGTGAAGGGATGATGATGCCTCCACCCAATCCCATTATAGGAGGAGGCGGAGGGGCTGTGCCGCAACAACCGTTACATCATTATCAACAGGATGGATATGGTCCAAGTGGTCAAGGAGTAGGTTTATCGTCCGGATGGTGTCTGGTTCGAATTCCACGAGATGCATTTTTCGCCTCTTTTATCTTTCTGTATTCCACCAAGTGAACACATGCGTTGTATTCCTTCACAGCATACTACGCTGATTGGATCTAGAATATCATTATACTTTTTTTATTAAATTTCGGAATTTTTTCGGAAAAAAATTGAACGAAAAACTAATTCACGTGGTAGTAGGTTAACGGTTGAAATTGCATTTGAACATCAACCAACACTAGATAGTGTTCCGGAGGGCTTTCCAGTGCTCTCGTTATTCACTTCATATTTGCCGTTGTTCTCGTGGAGTTTCGTCTTGTGTATTCACCACAGACGATCTGACTTTATATTCTATTGAGAAATTGCAGCAGAATGAATGTTTAAATTTCCATGTCTACAGTGCGTGTAAATTTAATATTATGCAAATGTGAAGAATGTATAATTTCTATTCCGGGATTAATGATAGTGAACAACTTGTTGCTATCATAGTCCCGAAAGGTTACTTTTATCACATCACATGTTCATAGCAATGTTTACATTGTTTATGTGATGTGGTATTAATCTCGGAAAATAACGCATATTTGCATATCACATTGACACGCACGTATACCAATTTTTGGTGTTTTCTCAGATCAACGACCGTGCTGTCGTTACTCCTTGTTCCTACGGTTTGCCAGGAGCCACACCTGTGAATTGCAACACCTACCATTCAGAATCAGTACATTATCCCACACCTAGAGGCGGCGGGGTAAGCATTATGGAGAGACTGGTGTTTTTATTATTATTTTCATACCATCTTTTTGTCACTTCCTAGGTTGCTTCTCGAGTTCGTCGATACCCCTCTGGAGCGGACGTGAGCTCCTCATCGTCATCTACCTGCGGATTTGCTCCGGCGAACGTCAGATCGCGCGAGCCAGTCTCAGCTGTTTATGGGGCCTATCGCCAATATGATGCCAGCAGGTAGGGAAGGATGCGAGGATGTTGAGGAATCTTTGGGTCGCGCACTATGAAGATTTCTGACTTCACACGAGATCACTGTTAGCACTATGGCTGAATTTTGTATCGGAGTTGGCAAGCTTTCTCATTCAGTGGCAACTCCTATACGTACACCAGTCAGTCAGCGTTCAAGGCAACTACGGGAGCAATGCGTAAGGACCCAGGTTCGATCCCGGCACATGTCGTTTTTCCCCACCCAGGAAGCACAGCTGTTATACTCCTCATGGGCTCATACAGTGAAGAGCTCTGTCTCAGCGCCAAGCAGGCCATTCTAATGGTGCCAGGAGTCATTGCTGTTACCACTCAACAAGTGAGGTCGCGTTGAGGAAATGCAAGATTGCAAGTGGATGATTATCAGGTTACATGGGCTCGAAAACAGAAGGCGTATGCGACTGTCTCGTTGGTCCGAGGGTTGAATTCTGCGATGCAGAACGCATTATTGAGAACACTGGAAGAGGCGGGAATTCAGGTGAGCGCTGGGGGAAAATATGCACATGTTTCGCTAAGGAGCGTATTTTTTTCTTAGGCAAGTTCGAAAAATCTGCGTTTCTCGTTAACGAATGAGAGTTTTGAGCTGAAACTTCAACTAAGCATAGATGTGTTGGTGATAATATGAAAATTGTGAGGGAATTCTCGAATTGTTTTCTGCATAGTTCTACCTTAATTTCAATATAAACTTCTACAATTAGTGAGGAAAATCCTCGGCCCAGTTGAGGAAA